AATTTGCAAGTTTCTCAACATGAGAGAGAATTTGAGAGAATTTTTTCTTACTCTCTGATATTTTGAGTGTTGGATAATTCTTGCTGGATTTTCGACGAACAAACCTATTGTGTGATCCCTGCTTACATTTTTTTTTATTAAAAGCTGTAATTTAACTTGCACTATTTGTATGTATGCACACGTTTGTTCGGGGAAAATGTTGCAATCAATTTTCGACCAACTTACCGATGATCTAGAGACTTGAAATTTCACAGTTGGCTTAGAACCCGATGACAATACAATACGAAAGATGAGTCAATCCTATAGGTGGCGCAGGAGCCGTGATATTTGAAAAACACGTATTTAAAGTTCGATTTGGTTCATATTCAGAACGTATATAAACTACATGAAAAGGAATAACTCCGCTAAAAATGTTGCACGAGTCGATATATTTGGTAAGCCAGTATTTAAGGTCCAATTTCGGATTTAGAAAGCTTGATTTAAATATATTTGTTTTTACTATTAACTTATTTATCCGAATAATTCATTGAAAAACGTCCATCCCTGATAAATACACACATATGTATGTTAGGACTTTCTTTCATTCAACTGCTATACCAGTTATCTTAAGTATTTATTTACAATTTAGCAACCTCATAGGTTATGCAGTAAACAGGCTTTTGAGTCATTCATTTAGGTACAGCGAATTTTTTACAATACGGGCAACTATTTTTCAAATATTTTATTTTTCGCAAATTTTTTATAAAAATATGGTTCATTCTACAACAAAAACCCCAAAAATAAAAATAAAAAATAAAAAAAATAGTTGCCCGTATTGTAAAAAATTCGCTGTACCTAAACTTTATTGACTGACTGTACATATGTACATATATATAAATGGAAACTGAATACGTACATACGTACTTATGGATCTCCCCAAGGAGAAACTAAAAATCATCACAGGTTTTATGACGGGCTGAGGGCACCTATATGAGCTAGGAATCTGGTCCAGCGACCTATATGCGAATGTGCGAATGCGAATGTTAGGAATAACATTAAAAAAGCTATAATCAACTTAAGTCATCGTTTTTATTACTTAAAAATTTTGTAGATTATTAGAACTTTGAACGAGTGCTTAACCTATAGGTACTGTGTTTTAATCTAGTAGTCAAAGTTAAAAAGGGGCATATTATATTTCAAAAAAATTGCCCACTTGGAACACTGGCGGGTGGAGCGCTCAGATATGTACATATTTGCGGGCCAGATCTGTCAATTTGTCGAATTTTAGTTTAGTTTTCCACCAATCGAGAGGATTTTGAACGAGATAAGCTCGTTTTTCTTTAAGATAGGCCTTCAATTGAGCTTTAATTTCACATTTTTTAATGTTTCCAGATTCTACATCCGAGCTTTCGCTTTCGCTAGAGGAATCAATTATTTCTAGGTTGATTATAAGACCTTTAGCAGTACTTGTTGAAGGCCCTTTAATTTGCTTGATATACTACTTAACCGTTTAGCGCCTGAAGCTTAAAGCCGGTTATCGTCCGCACCCTGGCTAGACAGACTTAACAAAACATTCGTATCATTTGATGCGAATGCGAATGTGTAAAATGAATGCGAATGCAAATATTCGCAACATCCCTGATATGTACATACAATATGTATGTATATAAGGAGAGATTCATATTCAGCATATTTTTTCTTGTTTTAACCATAATTCGTTTTCTTAATCAGAAATATTAAGAGTTTCGAAAAGGAATTGCTTACGTTAAATCAATAAATTAATTTTTACACTAAACAATTTCATTATTTTCATTGCTATTGAAAAGCTGTACATGTCGTAATTAAATGAAGATGCAAAGGGTCCTAAGTAACATTTTTTATGGAAGAGTTTCCGATTTTTCTGATGGATTCCTAAAAAAGAAATCCATAAGCTATGTAGAGACTTTTAAATCAATTGTTATGCACATTTCGCTACTTCAATGCTGCTCCTAAGGATAGGATTGCCGCATAGAAATAGTAAGTCAGTCGATTTCTAGGCCTCTGCGTTCATATTTACAAGATGAAAATATGAATTGTTGCTATTTAGGACAAAAATATCTAAATGCATTTGAACAGAAAAGAAAATGATAAAATCTCTAACCCAACCAAGCATCCCTTTCGAAGTAGCCGCATGTGATCAAGCAGACAGGCATACAAATAGATGGATAGGCACACAATTTTGGCAGTGTTTTCTAAAGTCGGCGAATTATGTATGTATATTCGAAAATAGTACAAATTTTTTTGTGTACCACCGGTGTATTATATTAACAAACTGCTTAATTAGCACTGCTAAGCCAATAGAAATTGAAAAAGAATAAGTGTGCGGATGCTACAAAAAAATATATACCTAGAATATCACAATCTTTCGCTGTGAGTTGGCCATTAAAAGATACACAATAAATTTAAAAAATATAGCACCTTTTTATTCGCAACAATAGGTTTGTAAAAAAAAACCCATAAAGATTTTCTAGCGTGTACTAGTATGCTCAAACCGTAAAATTATCCAAAAATGTGAACACATTTCGTCGCCTGGGTAAAAGATTGTCGTAAACGTCATTTTGACGATTTTTAGTTAAAGATGCAGATTTATTTTTTTATATAAGTTCTTTCAATTGGTGTTATCAGTTTTTGGATATCTCCTTTAGCTTCGGAGATACTGAGTAAAATTTTGTCATATTCGCAAGTTCGCAAGCGATTCGGTCAACATTTTGTTGTATGTGACGAAAAATCTCACATACGAAAAAATTTTCATAGTTTGATGAAATGGATTACTTGTTGAAGTATTGTCACAAATTGTATAGTACATACGACAAAATTACACCAATCCTATACAATGGATAGTCGTTTGTCCTACGGCAACTCTTATTGACAAATTGGTGAATATTTTGTTGATTTTTATTCATTAATTTATATCTCAGGGGTATAAGAATAAATTTTTTGCGTTCAAGCAAAAAATAACTTCAACAATTTCAGCCTTTTGCTTACTTTGTGGGGGATTGTAGTATGTCATACAGCTGTCCAGCATTTAACGTGAAAATGTAACATACGGCAAAATGATTTTATAAAAAAGTGGCTGTCAAAGCTACACGAGTTACTGAAAATTTAAGAAAATGTGGTTTTATACTTTAAATAGTATGTACAATTAAGCATTAAGTTTTGGTAAAAACGATTGTACAGCTTTTGGGGAAATTGACACTGAATCTTTAACATCGATTTCCCAAAACCTGCCGAAAGTAATATACGACAATCTTTTACACATGCGACGATTTATGTATAGTACAAACGACCACAAGTAGACATGGACTTTCAGTCCATGTATGATTATCAATTTAAATTGTACACTTTAGGCCGGATTCTTTTAACTTTTTATCCTTTAACCACGCCCGTTTAAAAACAATTTCTCTTCCGCCCCTGTCTCCACGGCAGTAGAATATTAATGGTCATACTTGGGTCATACATAATTTTGAAGCCACTGCATATTTTGTACGCCAAATTTTGAAGCTAATAAGACCAATTATTATTTTTTTTACAGCGAGTCCAACCAATTGCAAGATTCTAATATGACGAGATAATTTTATAACAGATATAAATTTGCTCCTTTTCACGATATCCTTTCAAAGAGACATGCCCATACTAATGAAATTGGGTACCTATTGATACCAGACTGCTAATGGAAAATCAGTTTCCCTAATGAATGTCTTACCTCGACCAACTTGTAAAAAATTTCACGTTTTACACTTAAAATATTTAATTTCATTGCTGCCTGGCAGCGAAAATGCAACGTAGGCAGCAAATTTCTTTTTCTTGTTTCTTTCTTTTTTCCTCTTGCACTTTCCACAATAGCACCGCCATTGCTGCAGCACAGAAAAAGTCGGCACAAAGCAAATGGAAAAATGAAATAAGCCGACATGAAAAAATTTCAATAGCCTTGCAACGCCTATATCCATATGTTAATAATAAAATTGGTTTGGTTTAAAATAAAACTTACACGTTATACTTTGCTTTGAACACTCTGCAAACAATT